CTTCTTCTTCTTCTTCTTCTTCTTCTTCTTCTTCTTCTTCTTCTTCTTCTTCTTCTTCTTCTTCTTCTTCTTCTTCTTCTTCTTCTTCTTCTTCTTCTTCTTCTTCTTCTTCTTCTTCTTCTTCTTCTTCTTCTTCTTCTTCTTCTTCGAAAAAATTTACAGCGCTGAACTCAACAGCAATAAATGAAAAAACAAATGTGGAACAATGGTTCACCTGTCTCTAGTCGAGGCATTCAGTTCACTTTCAATTCTCTCGTGCTAGGTAGACAAAGGACCACAGCCGCCGTGCTTTGAATAATTCATTACAAATTTATTTGTGTCATAAATATGTACACTTCTTCAGACTTATATTAAAATTGTAGTATGAAAGATTTGAAATAATAAGTAGCGAATTTGGATACGCCTATGCAAAATCAAGAAGGAAAGTATGAATTTTCAAACATGCTTTTATTTTCACAAAATTGGTATATTTAAAAAAAGGAAAATGTAAAAAAGAAAACAATTATAATTAAATAGAAAGAAGGTATGGACTGAACTGATGAAGACTTACAATAACAATCTTTTACAACAGCTTCCGGATAATACATTTTTAGATCTTGTACAATTTCATTAAGGAATTTATTTTTATTGACATCATATACGCCGTCACATAATTCATTAGGTCTATGTTGTACTTTGTCGGTATAGTCCACTTTTAAAACAATGTCTCGACAGCTTCCTTTTATAGGAGGTCTAGTGTCTTTCTTAATACTATATTCTAAATAATCGTCTTCCTTACTATTGTCATCGTAGTAGTAATAGTCAACTTTACGGCGTTTTGTAGAACGATGTTTCGGTTCCCTTGTGAACCCATAATCTTCTAATTGAGTTGTAAAATAATAGGCAACAGGATTGGCAGTCTGCATAGGATATTGAAAAGGCATGTAGAATGGGAACGCGGTATATGACACTCGCGTAGAGCATCCTGTCGAAGTGCAAGGAAGTCTGGTGCATTTACCGCAGCTGTCGCCTAGAGTACTAGAAGGCATGGTCGCGCATGCTGACGTATGACTGCATGTCGTTAAGGGGCATGGTGTTGTTGTCTGAGAACAAGCGGAGTCACATGACGATTCCACTCCATGAGTACAACGAGTACACTTATGCGTAGAAGAACCAGCGTGCTGAGGTTCACATGTTGCAGAGTTTTTACTGTCACAAGAACATCGTCTGTTATTTGTCAACTGGTGTTCATCTGTGTTTTGATACAGACTTCTAAGACCAATCACTTTTGGTAAAGATTTTCTTCCTTTAATTTTCTGTACAAAAAGTTTCTGCCTAACGTCGTTTTCCTTGATTTGTTCTGCATTCGATAGATTTTTCTTCTCTATATACGTCGATATTGCAATAGTACTGCGCTCCTTTGTTTCAGTATAGTCTGGTTTAAGCTGATTATCCACATTGTTTCTCTGCTTCACATACTGATCAGTTTCTTTAATTTTATTCATGTTGGACAAAAATTCTATAACCGGCCATTTTTGTTTAATTTCTAAAGTTGGAGTGGGTACGTTACTTTTGGAGACAGTGCGATCTGATAGGTAGCGTCCATCTTTCTCGTAAATGTGTTGTTTGATAGACAGTAATTCATCCGACAGCATTTTGTCAAATACGTGATATTTTAAATTTGGACTTTTTGTTTGGGTAAGATTGTGTAATATATGAAAAAGTTGATGAGAAGAGTTAGATCCATTGTTAAGTCCAACACCTGTAACGTAAAATAATAATTTAATCAACATTATCCCTTCTTTGTTTGGAGCAAATTTTTTTCGAAAGCATGATATGAAATTACGTACCCCCCACATTGAAAGATTTTTCATTTCCTGTCAGACTTTTCTCATTCTGGTTAATTTCTCTTTTAACTGAAAAGCTATTTATGTGGGAAACTTGAAAAATCGTAAATACTAAAATGTAAAACACAAAAAACATAACCAACGGATACTTTGATGTCCATTTTACCTGTCACCCAGCCCATAAGAAGTGAGAGCAGTTGGTTACAGACCGCAATCTACTGGGTCATGGCGTTCCTGTAATTGATTTTATATAACTATGTCACATTAAATATATTTCATAGATGATTTATTATGTTAAAAGTGAAATTGGTTGTATTATTCGTTTTGATCCTTGTTCCAATTTTAACTGACGCGAGTTATTGTGAAATATGTGTAAACCACACTCTTTGCCAATATCCTGTAAGTTTTTGTTGTGGTTTGTTTCCGAGGCTTATTGCAGACATAATACCACATTGCAATTTAAAATAGTTGCGTGGAGTTTGAAGAAAATAATAAAATAAATAAAATTCCATGGCTATTCTAGTTACGGTAGCGGAGTTGAAAATGACCCATAAACTTAGATTTCAGGACCGAGCAAAACATGCATCGAGTACGACGTTGCTGCCCTCCTTACAAGAGGCGATATTTCCGATATTGTGCACAGAATAAACGACCGGCGGAATTTCATCGCATTGGGCCTGTCGAATCGGCTACCACAAGCGGCGAACATGCGGAAAATTGTAAGAATCCTTTCTTTTGGATATTTTAATACGTATTGAAAACAATTTTCACACTATTCTCACTCTAATACCGGCACGCAAACTTATAGATGTGACTCCATTTGATTATATTTTTTTGGAGAATGGATTGAGATTTTACTGACTATTGTAATCTGTCAAAACGGCCATCATAGCGTACCGGTACTATAGTATATAATGTAACAGGAGTAAGTAGTGTTTACACAGACTACCTCACATTGTTCCAATCCAATAAATAACCACACGCATTACGGAGTCAAGTGGTAATCTGACTTGAACGTAGGCATTTTTAAAGTCACATATGTATGCGCTGAACCATAATTAATTTTATTTATTGATTTTTAATTGCATCATTAGTAAAAAAACATTTATGTGTCTATACCTTGGATTTTAGAATTGGTCTAAAGAACTAGCCACAATAGCCCAACGATGGGTTGACCAGTGCGATCCTTCGATCAACCCAGACAAATGGGATAGCTGTCGAGATTTGGGTAAGTTTAGATGATTTTGAAAAATGTACTATTATTATAGTATAGTATAGTACAGTACAGAACAGTACAATACAGTCAAGTACAGTACAATATAATCTAGTATAGTATAGTATAGTAATCTGTTCAAAGTAAAAAAATAAATATGTAATGGTAAGGGGTTGCAAAACCAATCCCAAAAATATACAGCGCACGCATTTTTTGCAACTATTGCCTACACGCTTAGACACATTGTGAAGTTTTTTATGATACCAAGTGACGGGGCCAACAAATCATGCGCCTGGTGGTAAGCGACACGCCCATCCATAACAGTTGCAATGGTACTCAGAGCTTTAAATCGCAAATATCTGAGGGACACTACCACTGCACCAGTCACCCTAAGACATACGTTGACAAGTCTCATGTCCTTCACTGCCACTGCACCAGTCACCCTAAGACATACGTTGACAAGTCTCATGTCCTTGTAATTTCACCAGCACCCGTACCCTTCAAAACCGCAAGGCAGTAATGCTCACATTCCTGCTTGGTGGCAGAAATAGGCAGTACTTCCCTGGACGAACTCTTTCACAAGTAGCTCTACTGCTATAAATGAAGTTCTTTTATGAGTAACCTTTTTTAATGAACATTTTATAGCGGACGTTGCAGTAGGTCAAAATGTTGCCACAATTATCGGTCCAGCTCCAGGCCTCAGCGTCAAGAGCTTTATTGACATGTGGCTCATGCAGAAGCTGGACTACACCGGCAGTGTTTCTTACTATAACCAGTAAGTACCCAAGACTGTATTTTCCCGCGATGTCGTGATAAGCAATTAGGGATAAATCCGGGAAAATGTAGACTTGCAGCTTTACCACAAACCCGACTGCCGAACAAAGGGATCCTCCGATTTTGGAGAGGCAGTTTTTATTATTTAAGTCAACATTAAATTGAAAATAAAACGACTTGAGAACCGTTTGGTTAATCCGCTAAGTTAACTCATTCACAGGAAGTATTTTAAGTAAATTACATTGTAACAAAGTACTAGTAATTGCTCTGTTTTTGGCATATATCGTACGGTAGTCACAATAGCAATTAGTAGTCATAAGTATTTTTTCAATTATTGAAATAAATGTAATGTTTTTAATACTACTCAATAGAAGTTGTTTCAGGTAAGAGGTACGTTTTTGCATGAATGAATTGTAAAGATATAACCTTCAACATTTTTCTAGCAAACTAGCAGATTAGCCACTTGTCGGGAAGTCATCATCGTCGCCCATCATCATTAGAAACGCCCGTTTCTTCCTTCTCTCAGTAATAGGCCAAAGGAAACTTCCGTAGAGAGCCCATTCCACGGTATGCAAGTTCAAGAAAGGAACGAACGTGATGCTCACGTTGTCTTCATATGCCAGACATCACTAGTGCAGGAATGGGCTCTACTTCGTTGGCGGGACTGGCGATGGGGGAAACGTGACAGTGAAAAGCACACACAACCAACGTGTCACTATATAAATTTCAATTGACTTACTTAGAACTTAAACAACATAAGCAATGAATGAGTGTTTAATTGAAGTGAGGAGATATTGGAAATGTTAGATAGGAGTAGGTAATTGAACAGTGATGTGGCAGAATTGTTCGTACACCAAAGAAACAAGACAAAGCAAGCCGCGGTAGAGGGATTTGACCACAGTAGCAGTACATTTGAAGACAAGCAAGGGCCGCATAGCTTCGATAGAATGTGACCTAAGCAACGCGTTCAGTCAAATATCAAACATAGAAATAGAAACGTCAGTCGACACTGGTGCAGTATGCATTAGATGTGCTGCATCTGATTGATATGCTGCTATTCATTTATTTTAATTTACAGTTATGGAACAGGTTTACAAGTTAATACTTTGTTCAGAAAATAACGAATGAATATTATTTTTCATCTACTCAATTTATATTGGAAACTACATTAATAAAGTTGCTTGACGGAATAAATTAATCATCACATATAAATAATTTTGTAAATGTCAAATTGTCAAAGAAATATTTGTACGCTTATTTAATTAGTACAAATCATACAACAAAATGAAAAAAAAAAATTAGTCATAAATCATAATTTAAATATATTATGACATTGCACAGTTTGACATTTAATAAGAGTATTTACTCTTATTAAAAATATATAATGTTATTTTATTGATACCAAAATAATAATTTTATTAATAAACATTTTATTATACTAAAGGATAGGTTTTATCTTGGCTGTTAATTTAGACAAGAGAAAGCAAAGTCGGACACACAAATTTCAAGCTGATCTTAATATTACCGGCTCACATTTTTTAAAATTACTTTTAGCCAGCTGTGTGAACGTCTTTACAGTACCAGCCTACTTTTTCGTAAATAATTTGGTATCATACGGAGTCGTTCAATAGCCGATGCTGATGTTGATAAAACATACAATTTAGCGCTTGGTAAGATGCGCATGATTTCATCGGTGTATTCTGTAACATTTTCTGAGGTATTTGATAGTAGGTATATGAACCTGTGATACTCTGGTCACGAAACTTTGTCGTTATGGTATGGCGGGCCATGAACTAGACCTTTTAAAATCGTATTTGGGTGATAGGCCCCAGAGGATCGATGTCAATGATACAAGGTGATCAGGGTGGGGGAAAGCGTGGACGTACCTTAAGGTTCCACTCAAGGTTCATTTTTGTTCTTAGCTTATATTAGTGCTTTCCTTGACCTCGTAAAAGGTATTCAAAGTTGAGACACATCAAAGTACCTATGATGGTGTAAATAATGGTCTTACAAGATCAGTACATTCGTTTACAGCTATAATGCTACTTAAGGAGAAAAAACATTGTATAAAAGTTCAATTACCTAATTGTTAGACTATAATTGAAGTTGTTGAGTGACGGTGGGGTCTGCAAATAAATAAATTGTGGACACGGCCCAAATGTGCAGTGTACGCGATCAAAAAATCAGATATGGAAACGGCAACATCTTATTTTAGCTATTTCCACATTTGAATCACACGTCATGTCACTGTCCAAAGCAATTAGGAGAAAAATACAGTTTATATACTGAATGAGTAGCCCACAGTGTATCTGATAGACAATTTTCAAGATGTTAATAGTTTTAATGATATTATTAGACATTTATGAAAATGTTTTGGAGAATAGTAAATAAAAAAAATGATAACATTGATATTAAGAAACAAAAAAAGGGTTTATTTTTGTCGCGACGCGCGAAACCGCTCGACTTTAACCAAGCGTTATGCAAATTTGGATTCCATATTTGTATAACACAAATTTGTACCTTAATAATGGGAAAATAGAGATGAAATGAATATGCTACAGGCGAAAACCATGACGCGTCGCGACGCTTCAACTCTGCGCCAGTGTGAGTTGAGCCAAAATTCATTCAATGGGCAATGTACCGGCTTCTATATAAAATATCACCAAGGATATTGTTCTAGTACAATCGTTGACATTCAAAATTTGTCACATATCTAATAAATTTAAAGATGTCGAGAAAATTTTTTTTTACAAAAATTGTACAAAATTCTAAATGTTCCATCTAGTTCTACCAGGTTGTTTCTACCTACTTTATTCTTAAAAAAATATTATAAATGAGAAAATGTATATGAATGCGACTCACGAATGAGTAGGCACTCATTCGTGAGTCGCATTCATGTACAATTTGCCTATAAAATAAAGATATTTTCAGGTCCAGGGATGCAAAATCTGGTTACCTTACTCAATTAATTTGGGCTGCAACGGACTCCGTCGGATGCGGGAGGGCGAAGTTTTACGTAAATAGCTTATTAAATCCATCAAACTCGTTCTTAGTACAAATATAGTCTTCATCATATTCGTTTAAATCTTCAAAATGTTGGGTTAGATACCTACTGAACTTCGCTTAATATATTTTTATTATCAGCGACAAAAACACAATAATTTTCAGATAGAAGACAAAAACATTGTAGTCGAGAGACTCATATGTAATTTTGCGCCAAGAGGAAACCTTCAAGGTAAACCTGTCTATGCCGTAGGTTTTGCGGCAACACAATGTCCAGAAAGTCTTTTTCCAGACTATACAATGAAAGGTCTTTGTACTGTACGCAAACAAACAACAGGTAAGATTCCACATATAACATTTAAATAAATCCATGATAGCTATATATTCCAAAAGTATAATTTAGCAATTGTCTGTCGTTACAGGCAATTTCAAACATAGAAGTTCTACCGCAACTAGCTTCTTAAGAGTGATTAACTTATCCAATGAGTCAGTAAAACAAGAAATAGATCCACTCAAAAATAACATGAAGCAAGTAAAATTGCATGGACCCAGTGATCAAAGAAACCAGAAAATTAGACATGTACTTATGAACAATGTGAACAATTCACATGGTAAATGTATGTCAGGTATTTTTATTTTATGGTAAAAGCTATTTTTGACAGTAGCAAAATGAAAATGATAGTATATTTTCAGCTGACAAGCCACTTTTCCCTCCACGCCGTATTCCGTGGAATATTCAAACCAGTAGTCCAGGAAATACACCAGTTGAACAATATGAAACAGAAAAAGGACACTCTAAAGTTTACCATGGTTATGATAAAGACAATTTTATACCACGAATTACGCAAAGTAGCAATCAAGAGTTCCGAAGGTATGATTTCACAACGGAAGCATATGTAGCAACATACGCTACCAGCGATTTAAGGAGACATGGAATTCCGGATCCGTTAAATTCATGCTCCCGGCGACCGAACTGCAATGGTTGTGTTGACAACAGTTGCGGCAATAGCTGCCGTACTCCCGGCTGCAACAATGGTTGCATCTCTAACAGATGCACTAGAGGCCAAAGAAAGGAGTGTTGTCATGAAAATCAACCATGTGCACATGGAGGGGCGCAAATGATGTGTCGTCATGACTCATACCCCTATACTCCACTTCCCTGCCCTCCTATATGTCCACCAGCTTGTCCTCCGGCCCCTTATCCATGTTGCGAAACTACCTATTGCAATAGTCATACAACTTGCTGTCCTAAGATTGGTAGACGAGACCAAAGTGAGGGTAATATAGGTGAGACCAGAAAATCAGGCGAGCTGCATTACTATGACCTTTTGCCAAATCTAGCTGTTCGGAGTGGTGATGCAGAGATAGAAAGATCTTTGTTACCAAAAAAAAAATTGAATGTACTTTGGCCCAGTATAACCCAAAACGTACTAAGTACACTTAAAGCACATAAAAAAAAAGAATATCATGAAAGTAATGATGAGGTAAAAACTCAATTTGAGCACCCAAAATACATAAGTGATGGAGCCGATTTCTTATACGGTTCGTTTGATTACAGCGACAGAGTCAGACGAGAACCTGAAGATCATGTGACTTTCAAACCATTTTGGCAACTAGATGAGTACAGTAACTTGAAACCCTCACAATTAAAATCATTACATTACACAACGTTAAAGAAAAATAGAAAAAAATGGCCAGTGTCTGTCACCACTCAGACAGAATCAATTACTATTAAACTTGAAAATAGTGAAATAGAAGTAGATGACGACGAAGAAAACGAAGTAACAGAAAAATACTTATCTTTTGATGAATTAATGCACTTAAGAAAAATAAATGCAGGTGGATATGATGCACGACGAGATAAGAAAAAGCCAGATAAGAAAAAATCACAAAAGAAAAAGCCAGATAAACAAAAGCTAAAAGATAAAAATGCCAAGACTACAAAAAAAACCAAGACTACAAAAAAAGCCAAGCCTACAAAAAAAGCCAAGACTACAAAAAAAGACAAGACTACAAAAAAAGCCAAGACTACAAAAATAGCCAAGACCACAAAAAAAGCCAAAGTCACTACAGCTAAGGTAAAAACAACGACACCGCAGACAGACAAACTTAAAGTGGATGAGGATAAGGATAAAAAAAAAGAAACAGAAAATAAAAACGACAAAAAGGAGACAACAAAAGCAACTAAACTACAACCGACTGCAGCAAGTCTACCATTAAATTACACAACAAATACACCATTTCAGCGAAAAAAACATTGCACGCGACAACTTACATGTACTTGGACAGTAGCTACCGTTACTGCAAGTGATGGAAGTGTTGTGATAGGTGGCGGTGGTGCCGTTCATGGTTCTCGAACACCACCTGGATATGTGGAGGGATGTACGCGTACATCCACTTGTACCCGAGACTTCCAAAATAGAAATAAATACATGACACCAGAAAACGAAGAAACAAATAGAGGGGATGGGGGAGGTAACGATGATGGTGATGATAGCAATGACGAAGGAGATTACTGCGATCGACGTGCCCTTGATGTAAAATTACGAAATTTTGAAGGAGAGCCCGAACATAACCACGGAAGTCCTGAAACACACACCGTTCCAGCAACCACTCCACCATACCATAATCCTGGTACTACACCAATGTGTAAAACAGATAAACTTGGAAGTGGTCCTACGGATCACTGTGATTGTAATGAAGAAAATATTAGACCAAAAAGGCATCTTAGTAGTGATCAAATTAACATAAATAGTCACGGATGTCACGCTAATTGTGATATTCGCAATACAAATCAACAAGATCAGTTACTATCTTACGGTGAACTGTATTACTTAGTCCTAAGCAAAATTATGAAAACTTGGGGTGAAATTGAGAACTCTAAGCATTCTGAAAATTGTGAATGCAGTGGCAGTACAACCTTATCAGTTTGCTATCTTGGACTTGCGCTTATTATTATATTTAACGCGATGCAGTAGTTGAATTTTATTTTACTTGACCAACATTTTTATTATACTTATATACATTAATTAAATTAAAATTTGATCAATAAATGTACATCCATTATCACCCTTCAACAGATTTTTATTAACATAAAAATATAAGGAATAATGTGACATATACTAAAATAAAGTTTCTGTACAGCATTCCGAGAGCAGTGAAACCTCTCATTCAATTTCAATATCTTCAAATCTGAGGCCAACCTTCCTAGTAGGTCGCTGTACTTTACAATGTAATTTCGACAACTCATTTCCAAGCTTTTTTTAAGATTTCTAGGATTCGTGGGCATTGACCGAACTCTGTTTACGGCGTCAAGGCTTTTCCGTTTTTGCCTGTTGTCATCATCCAAGTTACCTGCAGCTCCTTTGCTGGCTTCGCGTTTTATATTATTTATGTTGATATTTTCAGTTCCTGAAAATGATAAACATTTTTTATACACCCGCTTTATCATGGTACATAATAATGTATTGGCTTTTAAAACTGTACTGAACTCCTTATGTAATTGGTTTAGACTTATTCTTTTCAATTTCTTGTAAAAACTTTTTGAGACTAGTACGTCCCTTTTTATACAGGTTTATATGATCAGGCGATAACGAAACAATTTTTGTCGTACTTTCAGCAATGGATTCAGATTCAAGTATGTCATCCAAAAAATCTTTGGTTGCTTTACTCCTCTTCAGGTCTTCAATTTCCAATACAACATCAGATATCGGTGGACTTTGAGCGTCATAATAAGACTCCGTCATTTCAGAACTGAATTCATCCTCCCTTACTTCTTCTTCCGGAAAAAAGTAGTGCCCCGTGAAATCAGAGTTGGGCCGTACTTCTGCCAACTCTGCCTGGATTTTAACAGGACTTACGTCAAGTATAGGATATGTACTTTTATAAACCTCGGTTGATCGAATTTTATCTAAAACATGCATCTGTATGTACTACGATAATGAAATTATACTGTATGCGCTACTCCGAAATCGAGCAACAACGACACGAAAGCTGTCTACGTATTATACGTACCTCCACTACGAAATATAACGGCTTCTACCAGGTCAACTAGCAAAGTTGAGTTTACATATTCACTATCAGGCATTTTCGTAGTCGTGGGATAAGTCTTTTTACTGTAAATCTTGCTAACTAAGGCAGCTACGCTAGCGTCGTAAGGATTATCGCTGTTCCCCAACGGAGAATATTTTGTTGTAAACAAAATTTCCTTAAACATCGGATCTGTACTCAGCTTTTTCTTTAACAATTCTACAAAATCGTCCACGGCCATAATATCTTTGCAAGAGGAAACTTTCTTGGTTGTTGTTATTGTAATTGACGAGCTTACGTATTCGTGGATATGAGAAAAGTAATCGAAAGGCGTATAATGGTCGTCCCCTGTCTGTAAGACTCTTGTACTAGCTTCAAGGAATTCTGATTCCATTGTGGTTTTCGATTTTGCTGATGTTGTTCTGTGCTTTTTTCTTCTCGTTCGACTTTGTGCATTTGTAAATGGCTCTGTAGTTTCCGGGAGTACTGTATGAGTCTTAAATTTTTTTGAACCTAAAAGCATTTAAGAACAGAAAATTATACGCTACTATTTCTTTATCTTTACTAGTTCTGACACTGTATACTAACTGCATAGCGATTTATAAATGGAATCACAGGTGGTATCAGAAGGGCACTGTTCACATGGTGCACCCTCAGTATATACTGAATGATTAAGCCTATTGCCGCCAGGAGCGAAGTTGCATACTAATCTATATATCATCCTTTTCACTGCGCCACTTGTGTCTGGCATTCGTTCCTATAAACATTACAATGTCCTTGATGTAATAATAGTTTAGGATACATTATATTATTGCAAACAACTGTGAAAGATTGGGACTACATTGAAGAGGATCCTATTAGGCGTTGGATGATGAGACTATCTCATGCACAAACGGTGACTATACGGGTCGCCGGATACATCGGGAAGAATGGGAACAGAACGCTTCTCGGGAGGAGTGACCACAGAGGCCCAAAGATATTACAGACAAAGTATTAAAGCGGAAACTAGCAGGATAAACATCTTGCTTGTTTTTGGGTACACTTAATTATAATGGTCTATTTCAAAGCTTCGCTTTCAGTAGTCGAAATTATATTTTTATTATATTTATAATTAGATTTGTTGCCTTAACAAACCGAAAATTATTACCCTGAATTTAACTCCTCCGCAACCAACTTGAAATGATTTCGCCCACATCAGCTGTGTAAAGTAATCGTAATGCGAGAACCCGCTCTCAGTAGATCTGAAAAAATCATACTGTCTTGTTAACTTTGTAAATATCTCGAACAAACACAGATGATTCAGGTGAGTTTTTTTTAACGAGATATTTAAAGAAAGTAAAATACAAACATACAGTGCACCGTCATGAAAGTAGCAGCTATAAAAAATTAATGCTTTCTTCAAAAACCGATAAAGAAAACATCCATAACATACTTCAAGATAATCTTTGTATCTAAACTCTATCTATATCGTCTTTATACATTTTACTCACGGTTTATAATGCGGTAGAATAGTAGAATTTACGTTTAACAATTCCATATACCACACGTCAACCAAAGATAGAGGCGCCAAACCAGGAGAATCGCCGTAAATAGTCGCGATGTTCTGACCGACGTATACGCCATCTACAATGACTTGTAATGTTTCAAGCTTGGCATTGTATGGTGCAAATGTAAATGTGTAACATCTTTCTCTGGATCGTTGAATTGAAATCAATGCATTACAGCAAAGTATACTATTTGCAGTAATAAGTACATATTGTATGCGATACGAGAATTTCATCCAAAGAAACAGCTCATTCGTATACACTTAAAACCATGAGCTGGATTTGTCTAAACCTTCAGTTTACATTTCTAAATATGACGTAAGACATAAAACTGCGCAGTCTAGTACCGAAAGTGTAGTCAAATTTGCAAGAATCCATTAATTAAAGACTTTTAATGAAATTTACAACAAAACAAATGAGAAATGAGAGCAGATAAGTAACTTCATATACAATAATGAAAGTCTTCAGAAATTTACCTTGACATTGATTAATTACATTTTATTTACGCAACACTTTTTAAAAGAAAAAACGTCATGCCTTCCTTGAGGATCAATTTTTCATATACGAGCTTTGGATGTGATATTGATACAAACCCTGTGGCGTGTGATCCTTTACAAAAAATTAAAGTCTACGGTTGTCGCACAAATCTTTTGATGCCGCAATAAAAATATTAAAAGAAAATAGGACGTTACTTTGCGGAAGTCCATGTTAACAAAAATGAAAGTAAATTAATTTGCTGCTCGGAGTAGCTACACTACCCTTTGTTTTTCTAGTGATGATTAAAATTGTATCGCTAACCTAAATCACGGCAAGTGTCTTTGATGTCCGGAACGCTGTGTTTAACACACTGGTTCGCCCAACGCTGTGCTGTTAGCTCCAATTCTTTGTTCCATTCCTGTACAAACATTTTTATTCTTTATCGACAATCTTATGGTCTTAGAGTTTTGGAATAATCCAAATAAATACAGTCATATACATGAGATACCTGACCCCCTAACATGCCCAAGCCGACCTTTTGGTTCTGAGAGCCATCTTACATATTGGACGAAGAAAAAATTAAAGCAATTTCAACTTTATCGTTTAAGCAATACAGTGGTGTGTTGCTTGAAGATGATCAACTTATTTTTAAAATCAATACTAAATTTCGTCACTTAGCAACCAAGTAAAGTGGTCGAGCGGCTTATTGTATGGACTGCCAGTCACAATATCCGTGGTTCCATTCGACGAGCACTATTTTGTTTTAACGTTATGTTTTTAACACCATTGTTTCGCTTTTTGATGTTAACGGTGACAAATTTCCTAAGGTGGGTGGGTAGATATTATTAATAAAGCGTCGGGTGGGTATGGATAGATTAACAAATCACGAAATCGCTCTGCAGTTTGCATACGATCGTATCTTCAGTGATTACGCATTGTTCCGCGTTTCGTTCCCATTTGTCTATTCAGTTTTAATTACTTTCAAAGTTTACTTCCTTGTTTTAATAATATGCCGCACTTAACGAAATTATTAATTTTTTTTAATAAAAATAACGCACACACAGAACATAGCCCCGCACTAGGGAAACCCTGTGTCGCTGGTGCCATGGACACACACATAGACAAACACAAATTACACCCAAACTCACGAGAGAAATAAATGTAGGCCATATAAATATTTCTCCCGGCCCGGGAATGGAACCTGAGACCTCTGCGTCGCAGTCCGGCATGGTAACCGTTCGGCCACAGAGGCAGTTGAAATTAGAAATTATTGTTTTATATGAACAAGACTTACACATTCTTACACCTATCCAAACGTTAAAAACAACAAAAACTATTATATAGTCGTAATCAAATATTACTTTACTTTTAGTGTGACTCGAACAATGCTTGTGTCAACTAGCAAAGCAATTCATAAACCACTAGGCCACGGCGGCTTTACTAAAGCTGGTTGAAATTTGCATTCTGTATTTCAGCAAGAACTATACGTTAAAGATCAAATTGGCTCTTAAAAACTTTCTTACAATGTCATTGACTAATGAGACGACCAGGGGAGTCATACCAAAATAAATTTTACGGCTCACAATTTAACAATTTTCTCCACATTTTGTGCTTTTGTGCCACCAAAAGGTCGACAAAGTCGGTTTGGAGGGTCAAGTACATTGTGTATATGACTGTATCTAAAGAAACTACTTCATCATCCGATGTCCAACTATAACCAGTCCAGTTTTAAAATCCATAAAAATATGTCCAATATCGGGGGAACAGTGTACAAGCGAATGTACAACGGTTAAACAGATCGGACCATTCTTCAGTTAATACTCGTACTCATAATAATAAAAAAAATTAACAAAAATGTGGACCCATTTTTTTACGCTGGCTGAAATGTCGAACCTTTTCGTTGCAATCATTAAACAGGATATCACCGGAGGAGTCGAGTTTTATTAATTTTAATACGCCTCGTGTAAATGTACTTTTCACCTCACTAACTCGGAAAGACTTTCTTTTTTATTGGAAATGGTTTTTGAAATGCGAACTTGACGATGGACTGTGGTACACACAGACCACATAATGGTGGTGCATCTAACTTTTTCTTTCGATGAAAAAGAGATAATGACACGTCCAACTACGCGATTTGTCGTACATTACATAGTTACGTAACATAAATCCGTTGTTATATTTTATTCTTATTATTGTTGTCATTAAATTGACAATGATAACTAATTGTGTTCATTTAATTACTTTAATTTGTCGAAGAACTAAAATAATTTCAATAATCACTTAATCACACAAAATAAAAGTACAAGCAAAAATAAAAACTGATGAGGTGTAAATTCAGAACGCATCCGAAGATAAGTACAAGTTCTACTCACAGAGTTATCTATGATAACACAAAATGATATCATGTTTTTACAAAGATCTAACATCTCGCGAACTAATATTCTTTCTGGTTCACCTCTGAGGTGTCTCATTGTAGTTGGCACAAACTAGGTTCACGATTGTTTTCAGAACGAACCAGTTTAGTTTCAGAATACAGTACCTAGATTCGTAAGTATAACTTTTGATCTTATAGAAATTCAACCTCGTCTCAAAGCAGAACTTTGATATACTTACCTAAATTTGAAAGTTTGTTAAAATATTTGTTACTCAATATTTAAATCATGATCCAGAATGCTCTTCGTCAGGAACACGAACATAGTCGCCGTCAAAAACTAGTTTGTTTAATATTCGCTGATTATGACGTCGTCGTAAAGAATTTGATAAATGACCGCCATTAAACATAAACAGCACATACACGGTAGAAAATTAGTTTAAAATTGTATAATGAAATATCCGTTTCAATTTATTTGTAAGTTTAACAATAAAGGTTTCAGTAAGGTCCGAGTTCGAACTAGGTTAATTGACCCAGCGAATAGGATTTGGTATTGGAGACTGGCAGGTTCATAACCGGCGGGCGTGGTGGAAATCTAATGTCAAAGGCCAAAACTAACTTTGGGGCACTTTCGAAATATAGTTAAAGTTATACAAAACACTATATAATGCTTTAAAAAAACACTAAATAACATTTGAAATAAAAAATGTACTTCTATAACTCTATTTTTTAAAAGCTTCGGAATTACATTACGGAAGTTACCGAATGCAAAATATAAGCCTATTTCATGCTAAT